ACACATATAAAATCAAGGACAATTTACCTTAAGTCTAGATTTTACAACACTCACAAAGGAGAAATGAAGATGGATCAGTATCTTTTTAAAATGAAGAACCTTGCTAATAAATTAAAGCTAACAGGATCACCGATCTCCAACTCATAATTGATGATCTAACTCAGTAATCTCTCAATAAATGTTTCATCAAACCTTGCAAGCAATGTTAATTTCAAAGGCAACAAACCAGGAACACAAGGCAACTGAAAGGACTCTAACTTCAGAGGAGGAAGAGAAAGAGGTAGATATAAACCAATATGTCAGGTATGTAACAAGAAGACAATAGGCAATAGGCTCAGCAAGACAACACGCACTGGATGCAAACCAGAAGCAAGGCAAGGATTTATAAGCCAAAATTGTCCTATATAGGACTAATAGAGACACACACAGAGAACAATGAACCAAAAAATATCAATGAAACACTAATCAGTCTAAGATGGAAAAGAACCATGGATGCAGAATTTAAAGTTCTAGTAGTTAATCACATTTGAACATTGGTACCATTTCAGGGGTATAATAACATTATAGACTTAAAGTGGGTCTTTAAAATTAACTACAAAGCATATGACTCAATTGAGAGAAGAAAAGCAGATTAGCTGCTAAAAGTTTTCAATAAAACGTGAGTCTGGACAATGATAAGACATTCAGTCTAATGATCAATGGGTAACCCTACACTATATAGATAAGTTATAGGTAGTGACGGATCTTTTTGGGAACTAAGGGAGACCATGACCCCCCCCCAAAGTATTGTAACTCCCATGTAATTTATGATTTTGGCCCCCCCAAAATTTAATATATTTATTTGTATATTTACAATTTTATCCTCTCAGTCTCTCCTCAGTTTTGTAACTCTAATATAATTTATGATTTTGTCCCCCCAAACTTAATGATCATTTTATATATTTACTTATACGTTTACAGTGTTATCTTCTCACCCTTTCATTTTCTTTCACCTTTTTATATTTATTTATTATTTTTTAATAATATATTATTTAGCTCCCCTAGAATCAATGGTCAAAATTCGCTACTGACTATATGTGCATTAAAGTATCTAACCAACACTCGACCGGACGTAACATTTTCTGTCACCAAACTCAACTAATACATGAGTTCCTCAACCACATATCACTGGCAAGGAATAAAAACAATATTGATATATCTTCATGGCACAACAAATTTATGACTTCATATCAAACCCTCAATTGATGTTGATATTGTTGGATTCTTTTATGCATATTAGGCTACTAACATAAATGATAGAAAATTCATAATAGGGCAGTGTGTGTTCCTTGGAAACACATTAATCTCGTGCACCTCAATAAAACAAAAAATGACGTTACAGTCAAATATTAAGTCAAAATACAAAGTTTTGGCTAACCTAGCAGCAGAAGTAACTTGGGTTAGATCACTTATAACTGAGCTAAAACCAATTTTGTGTTGTGATAACTTAAGTGTCAAGGTATTGACATTCAATCCAATGATGCATGTTTGGTCCAAACATATTGAAATAAATGTTCACTACATACATGAATAAGTGCTTCAAAATCAAGTCACAATAGTCTATCTACCCACAACATATCAGATTGTTTAACCAAACTTTTCACACACACAAGGTTTAACATTTTGAGAGACAAACTTGGGATGATTATATTGTCATCTGAGATAAGGAGTCAGAAAAAATTACAATTTTAATAATTATGTTAATATTTTTTATTAATATTTCTAATATTATATCATTATTTTATTCGTATAACCTAAAATAACATGTAGTTATCTGATTGCTAAATGGTTGAAAATTCTGAAGTTTTTGTCATAAAACTTTTAATTGTGTACGCTGTAACAAAATTATTCTCTTGCCACATTGAATAGACCTCTTCTTGAAATTTTGAGATTATAGACACTTTACCTTAATATTATCTCTTCTTCTTGATATCTTACCAAAATAATTAACGTTATCAAATTCTTTGAATTCTCATTGAGATGCATGCAATAAGAATTTCCAATATTTAAATTTGAAACAATCATATCAAACGATTGATTTCAAAGAAACCGATAAAAAAAAACGAATAAGACCAATTAGAATAATAAAAAAAATATAAAAAAATAAACATATATAGAATAATCTCTAAAGCCTCACTTGTTTTCTTCTATTCAATGTTATGCATAGCTATGTGGTTTTAAGCTGCTTTGCATAAAAATAGCAGTGAGTTCTACACCAAGATAGTCAACTTCTCATTTGTTAAGAAAAGACCGAAAAGTTATGTATAAATATAACACACAAAGTCACTTTTACTCTCACATAATTGATTATATATTTTTGCATAAATGATTATGTGGATCCATATAATATATTATATTATATGACACAACATAATTGATTATATATGGTCACATGATCTACGAATTTGATTTTTAAATGAATATTTTAAAAATATTTATAATTTTTTTTACATATATTATATCAAACTACAAACATTTATATTGATATTTTTTTATAAAAATAAATTAAATTGTTTAGTTAAAATTAATTTATCTTTAAAATAATTATAAAAATTATCTTATATAAAATTTTATTTCTTATAAAATTAAACCTATTATATACACTTTAATAAATATAAATAAAATTTACGTGAATATTTAATCAGTTTTATTATTTAAAACACATTTTTTATCAATAAGACGATTTAATAAAAATTATTAAAAACATATGTTTAATAATTAATATCTTATTTTAATAATGATTCATTAATAATACTTTTTAATTAAACTATACTTTTAATTTATTATAAAAAAATATGATATAGTTTTTTCTTAATCGATTATCTAATAAGAATTTGTTAATTAATATAATGTTTTAAAATAAATTAATTTTAATATATATTTATATACTATTGAAAACATATAGTTTATATAATTTTAAATAAATATTAAATTTGAAATTAACTTTTTAATTAGAATATTTGATTTTAAAATAATCAATTACATATAGTAATATATAAAAATAATTTATGAAAAATAATTATATATATTTGTTTGTTTTAAAAGATAATAATATAAGAATAATTAGCTTATTTATTATATTAATATTTATTTATAATTAATATCTAAATTAACTTTATTTTTATTTATTTACATCCATTTTATTAAATAATTATTTTATATTAAATTATATATATATATATATATATATATCTCAATTTTAATTTCTATTTATTTTTAATAAAGTTATATAAAAGATATTTTGATCGTTGATCATTTATCTTATTATTTAATATTTTTTATTAATCAAATTAATTTTATCTTTTATCGTCTCTTTATTTTTTTTCTTCATTTTCTATTTCTTTTCTTTCCATCTAAACAAAGTCATTTTCTATTATTTTTCTTTCCTTTTTTTCCTCTATCAAATTCACTTTAGTTCAAACATAGATCAAAAGAGATATAGTATTATGTAAAAACAGTACAAGAATAGAAAAGTTTTACCCAAAGAAATTTTACAGAAATAAAATTCTTAATATGATATATACAAATCTTACACTTTGTAAAAAAAATCATAAAAAGATATTTAATTAACTATAAAATATATTATAAGAAAATATAGAACTAACTAACAACAATAAACAAATGAATATATATATTTAACAAAATAATTTTATATCTTATTTAATATAAGAAAAACGAAAAAAAAAAAAAAGTATATCTAAAAGTTAATCTTACTTAATATGAGAAAAAACAAATTTGTACAATGATTGAGAAGGCGTGATCATTCAAAATTTAGTTCAAACATGTAATTCATTCTATGAACATCTCATCCATTACCAAGTGATCAACATTGAATAACCTTTAATGCATCATCACCACCATTGATTTTGACAAGACAATGTCGACGCGTTGATCAATTACTAGCATGATTGTGATTAAATATGCTACCAGTAGATAATTTGAATTTTGTTGGAACTTTTCAGGGACTCAAGTTTTGTCATGAGATTGATGTTGAAATGCTAGAATTGATGGTTGTAACGCACAACACAACAGAGTGCCTGAAGATAGAAAAGAAAATCATGAGATCAAGACTTATATTAGTTTCAAATGTGAATAGAAATATTTGTCAAATTTTACAATATGATTTCACAATTAATTGAAATTTAATTGACTACAATCAAATTACTCTACATTTAAAATTCTATTATTTGAAAAAAAATATAATCTGGACACCAAGTAGATGTATTTTTGAAAATGAATCTTTATAGTGACAATTTTTTAAAAGATTGTGACTGGATTACCTAAATATGTCAATGCTTCAAATATTTTTATTCCATTGGTTAATGAGATGTGGCATCAACTATAAAAACAATATAATCCTAATAAAATTAAGACATTCAATACATTTTAAAATATCACATTTATTTTGATCAAATCCTAAAATAATAAGAGCACAATAGATTTGCAAGCATATTAAAATTTAGACTTTGAAAAATGTAATTATATCGAATTTCGTCGAATCAATTTACCATTGGGTTGGTTTACCATTTTAAATCAAACATAATTGATTATTATTCAATTGTCCAAATAAAAAGCTTTTGACTTCAGAATTCGTAAATTCTATGAAAAGGCAACTTTTCGAATGACACGAATTTATCTGGGAGTGTTAGAATGGAAAATGCACCTGATTTATGGTGCATTCCGTAAAAAGCAACTCCATATTTTTTAACTGCATTGACTTCATAATAAATTAACCAAAACCAAAAGATTGTGTTGCTAGAAACTCTACTGTAGGCATGAGTTAGATGCAAATTAAGCCTAAGGAACCAAAACGAGTCTAGTAAGTTAAAAAAAGTTGTTACAAGTAATATAAAATACCATAAAGTATGCAAGTTTCGAATATTAGATAACACAGAATAAACTCTTTTTAGAGTCTGAAAGCTTTCGACCTAACGTCCTCGAACAGCCAAGATAACAAACACTCACTGTACACGACGACGCTTATTCTTAATCTCATCAAAAAACTGGTGGACATCAGCAGCAGTAATTGGCTTTGAGGAGTCTGCAGATTCCTGTCACAGAATATAAAATAAAATAGTCAACAAAAAAATAAAACAAAAAAATAAACTAAACAAGGCACCCCTATCACGTGTTGCCTATAGATAGAACTCGGGTTTACCTGTCTAGCATTCAGCAGATGCGATCATACAAGATATAAGAAAGAAATCTAAGCTATATCTAGAAACGTACCAGGAAAGCACGAAGCCCGTCCTTCATCTCTTCAATGCCCTTCAATATCTCAACTTTCTCTACATGTCCAAGTTTGTTAAAAAAACTTAACTCAGCACCCTCTTGTTGCTGCAACTTTTCTTCTCTCTTTTGCTTAGCCATTTGCTCATATTCCGCAATTGAGTCTTCCTTGTCAAGTAGAAAAGCAATATGCTTCTGATTGTAAAACTCCAAACAATTATCGCATTTGCATAGAGCATTTCTCCAATTTTTGGACAGGAACATTGGTTTACCAGGTAAAACTGGGGAAGCGGTAACAATGTTAACACCAAGGAGACAATTAACATGCAAATTGGTGCTTTTTGGGCTTTGATTTGAGACCATACTGCTATTAACATTTCCTATCAGACACGGACTATTCCCCTCAGATATAGATTTAGAATCAACAGCAGCTTGTGCTTCGTCAATTTTAGGAGAATTATATGAAGAATCACAGATTGGCTTTTCAGACCCACAAGTTAAAGTCGTGTCTTCCAAAACACCTTTGTCCTTGCTAATTTGGACTGTAGCATCTGACTGTTTTCCAGCTGCCCATATATCTTCAGGATATAATTTTAGAAAGAAACATACCTCAGAGCATGCCTTACATATGAACTCATCATACATTGGCTCACCTTCGTCATCTTTGGGAATCTGATGTACACAAAAAACGATTAAAAAAAAAATCAAAGTGCAGAACATAAGTGATTAATATATCACCACAATTCACAAATATAATATTCCTTCAGACCAATTAGAAGTATAAATAGCATAAAGTTCTGTTGAGAGTTTGTCCATAACTGCCTTTTTGAAGAAATGCTAACAAACTCTACTTTTGGCTAAAATTTATTGGAAACCACAAATTTGGAGGATCTCGCTTCCCATTTAACGAGTATTTTTCCTAACTTAATAGTTTACAAAAGGTTATTAAAATTGAAGAATGACAACAAGATTTAGAAAGCATGAACATCATGATTGCAGATAAATGTCAATGACATCATATTATTTATATTTTACAAGGAATGTCAATGGCAACAAGATTTAGAAAGCATGACCATTATCAATGCAAATAAATATGACAAGAAGTTCTCTCCGGCTCAAGTATTGTTTCTACTTTACAAGGAGTTCATTAACTTTTATTTCCTGATATTAACATTTTCCATTCAACGGAAACATGCAGCAAATGGTTGTCAGAAGCCTAAAACTATTAGCAGAGCAGGACATCCAACAACAAAAACCAAAAAGAGAAACAAAGGGAAGCTATAAGTTTACATCCTTGTCAATATACCTGGTTTTGGAAATACATGGATTATTATCAACATGAACTGATAGTATGATTTAACCTAAATCCTGGCAACTATGTCCACAAAAAGGAAGAACTTACATTATTTAACTCAAATAAGACTATAATCTCACAAGATAAAAAGAGTATGGAAAACAAAACAAAAAAACACATTCTAAGATACCAACCTCGGTAGAAGACTCAACACCAAGATGCTCCTCATGAAACCAGTCCTCACATAGACAGCACTGTATCATCTCAACTTGTTCTTCAGCATCTGGATCTGGATAAGGACGACCACATGTGCAATACGAACCTTTAAAGTTGTGATTGTATGAATTCTCAGCATTCTCTATATCTTTATTTGGGAAAATCTTGCAGTAGAATTCACCAAATTTTGAATTCCCACAATCACATCTGAAGTTTCTTTTTGTCCATAGCTCCACAATCTTCAAAACACAGCAATAACAAAACTATAGATTTTCGGTATGGGTATTGATCAATACAATTAAACGGGTTTCCTATTCAACTAATAAATTTCATTTTAGAGACTAGTGAGTAAAGGTTGTGCTTGTCCACATAGGATGTATTTATGGCCCACGAAATTATTCTCTGTACAATGGATAAATGTATTAATCTTAATCATGGATCCAGCAGACTCCACATAAAATAACTAGAGTACAAGACAAATCAACAACTGTAAATTTAAAGAAAATAGTTTAGGTTCATCAGTGGAACCTAGATAAAACCAATTGCTGTCCTTGTCAAATCAAATATATGATTTAGCTAAAACATGTATTACTATCACAATTGTGTGTCAATTAGTAAAGATCCATATCCATTTTCATATCTTTAGTAGTGGAATCCAAAATTCTATAGCCCGGAGAAAAAGAACCACCTGATGACCATCATGGCATGCCAACGAACAAGCAGTGCAAACTCCAGCATTCCCGTCTGGAGTGCAGGTAAGGCAAGAGAAAATTGCCTGCCTTTTCATGTACCCTTTGTTAAAGGTACACTCCTTGCCCTCATCACCCCCTAAAACTAAATCAGCCTCCTACAATTGAAAACATAAAGGAAAGAAAAAACAATGATTATCAACATTTCAATCAAACCACATCCTGAGTAAAGTAGAACCAATACTATAGAATTTTGGTAAAATAAAGTACTCCATTTCTAGTTATCCAGAAGAAGATGTAGGAAAGCCAACCATCATTATTATACAATAATGGTATCAAAATACAAATTTGTGCTACAAGTAGTCCTTAATAGAATAAAGGATAATTGCGAAATAATTTAAATTGTAGATGTTAACCTTGTTCTTTTATACTTATTCAATTTTTACATCACACTACCCCAACCGAAGAAATTATTAACACATATGACAAGCAACAAGCAAGCATAAACATAAATACTGTTTAACATTTACTTCTAAGATAAAGCACAATTTAAAGTATCTCACAAAACCAACTTTACAAATGCCTCCGCAAAATTGCCAAAACCCTAACAAGTGACCTTCATGTTACTCGGACAGTTCAAAATCCCATAATTTCGTAATCAGGTGAATATCACAGGTTAAACGGCAACAACTTATGTAACGATAGCAGAAATGGCAAAAGCAAAACATTATGACGCAAAATTCATAACCGCAGGTCCGTAAGATAGATCATAACAACAGGTTTATCAGAGTAATTACATCATATACCAAAATCTCAAAAGAACATACAACATCCTTTTTTATATAGATATGAAAGTAAAGCAGGAATGTAGGAAACGACTAACCAGTTCCCGTTCCTCAACTTCATCGAGGTATTCGCCGATTGTAACGGCCGGCTCAGCTTCATCGTCAAACGTGCCGTCCATTTCCACTCCGCGAACTTCTGCTTCTGGTTTCGGAGTTTCACGATCCGTTCCTAGAACACAACGCAGAGGCAGAGATTAATGAAGAGAAAAAATAACATGTGAATAGACTCTAGGTTCCTTTCGGGAAAACCTAACACGGATCCCTTGAAATAAGAAACCCTAGATTCCACCAAAAAAAAAACGAAATTGAAAGCGAAGGAGGACAAATAAAGAGCATAATAAGCACTATCGAACCAAAATTTATGAGCGAAACGCGTCAGCGGAGCAAATGCTGGAATTGCTGAATCGGGTAGCGTTGAAGCTGCGGAAAAATCGTACCGCGATGGTGGACGAAGAGAAGGAGGAGAAAGAGGTACTTTGGAGTAAGAAGGTGCAGAGCCAAAAGGAATACGTGCGTTTTGAGAGTTATGAGATGAGAGAGGGGGTTTGGGCTTTTATATTGGGTATTGTAGAGTAAGGACCATACGGACATTTTCCCGCCATATATCCTGAGAGATGCGAGGATATTGGGAGCAGATTGATCATTGATTCGCAAATCAAATGTCAAATTACATCCCTCCCTCCAAATTACCATATAGTCCCATCCATTTTCAAATTTAAATTTCATTACATTTTAGTCCATAAAATTTAAGATAAATTCAATTTTAATCCTTAGATCTTTAAGTATTGCTTTTTCAGATTAAAAAAAAAATACAAATTGTTTCTCAGATTCATGTTTAGAGTTTTGGCTGTTAGTTTTTAATTTCATCAGTTGTTAAGTTTGTAACATAATTATAATCACTACAAGTTTATAGCGGTTAAATTATATGTTAACTTCATCTTTCAGTATTAGTGTTGGTTTAGCAGAGGTTTTTGGTCAATTTTTTCAAGCATTGAACCATTCTTAACGGAAAATCCTTCTGTTCTTATATTTTTTTTTTTTGAGGAGAGATACGATTTGACGACAAAAGTTAAAAAGTTATTTATAACTCACAATTTTTATTTTCACAACTAATTTTAAACAAATATTTATTTTACAACTCCATCTTTATTTTCATACCTTAATATATTATTATTTATTAGTAAATTAAATTTTTAATATTATATATTAGATATATAAGATCAACAGTTGTTTTGGAGTAATACGATGATAAAGTAATAAATTTGAAAAGTTAACTATCGCATCTTATAAAAGTAAAGTTTCTAAGAGTTGTTTTTCTCAATTTTATTCAATTTGTTCTTGTTGTTCTCATTGTCAGAATTGAATAAAATAAATGCACCGTGGGTCTCATTAAAGTCAAATAAAAAAGTTAAATATCACATATTGTAAAAGTAAAGTTTCTAAGAATTATTTTTCCCAGCTTTATTTAGTTTGTTCCCACTGTTTTCACCAACAGAATGCAATAAATCAAAAAACAAATATTTATAACGGGTCTAGTTAAAGTCAAAAGTAGTTGTTAAATAGTAAATTATTTATAAAAACAAATCATTAAAGTGAATTACAACAAAATTTTAAAGAGAACCTGTTAGTGGCAAATCGAGAAAAGCGATCGAAATCGAAGGGAAGAAATACGACTCGATAAGATAAACAAAAATTCATTCGATGTCTAATTAGAAATACGTAGCATATAGCATCGAGAAACACAATCGAGAATCGAATGAATTATAATCAAATGACTGTTGTCGAATAAAAACTAAGTCATATAAGACCAGGGTTAAAAAGGAATCGTAAGCAATTCGAAGTTCTCGAAAAATGCAGAATCGAGAGTAAAGAAAGCCAATATGGATATCGAGACTTTGGCCAAATTGTAAAAGGAAGTAAGTCGAATGCACGTATAAAGAGCAGTTTTGAAAATCATGGGAAAAAGTCGGAGATCTTGAGAACGTGGGAAACTATAGAAGATAAACTGCCATACGCACGTAGAACGTGATAGCAATCGCGTTAACTGCTCTCGGAAGGCTTGAAGGATGCCCTATAAATAGAGCAAAGGAGGAAGGAACAAGGGGGGCGGAAATTGGCAGAGAACAGGATCAGTAGTGAAAAGTCTACCGGAGGAACGACGAACACCATGAAGTTTCTGGCAATCTGGATTTCCTTGCTCACTGAGTACATTTACCGCTTTCTGTATTTTCCTTGGTAATTTATTTTGATGCAACTTAAATTCAGCAGTTTTATGTTTCTGTATTTTCGATTCCTTGTCCATTTCAATTCAATGAAAATTTGAGTTTCTGCATTTAGATTTCCATGTTATTTAACATCCTACAAATCTCAATTTCTTGTCATTTACTTTTCTCACAATCTCGATTTCTTGTCATTTATATTTGTGTTGTTTTCGATTTCTTGCTATTTACAATTAATGCAAGTTTGGGGTTTTCGCAATTTACATTTCCTCGCAATTTAACATTCTGCTTTTCGATTCGATAGTCTTAATGCTTTCGATACTTCAAATACAAAACACCAAAAACAGCGTTTTTCGATATCCTGTGATTTTCGATTCTCATACACGTTTTCGATTGAAAATCAAATTGCTAGCCTAAGTAAAAAGAACTTACGTGGTAGAATTTTGATTAGGACCAAAACACCCTTAAAATCGAAATCGATCGAAATTCCACCAGAAACAAGGTGAAATGAGTTTTAGTGATGAAACGTGCTTGAAGTAAGTTTTTACTAAAATCGTGCTTTTAAATATGATTTTAATTTATTTATTTTTCTCAAAAGAGCAAAATCTTGGTTGGTGTCACCATTTAATATAGAAATTGGTCAAGTTAGCACCAATTTAGTTCACAATTGACATAGTCGTTTCTTACACAAGTTTAAGTTTAGACAATTGTAAAATTGCGCAACCATGTATTCAAAACCAAAATTTGTCCACATTGTACAATTCTAATGTATTTGCATAATTTCTCATAGAGTCGAGCATGAAGAGCAATATTATAAATATTGCACAAACATAATTGAACATTCAATTAAACATTCATTGAATTGTTATTTTTTGTACGAGGATGTAATTTGTTCTTTCAATAAATATACCTTATTTAAATGTTTATAATCACTATCATATTCTTTATTTTTAGTATTATTTACTTGTTGCATCACTATTATCATATTTTTCATATGTATTTGTTTTTTTTTGCAACAATATTATAAAAAATGTTTGGTGAAGTATATTCTTCTAATATAATAACTGATATATTTTAATATTATTTTTCATTTATATAACAAAAAAAGTGAGAAATCAAGTATGTTAAAAAAAAACACAATTAAAATCGTGCTTTGAAGTATGATTATAGTCAAAATGTATTTTTAAACACGATTTAATCCATTTTAAAAAATATATTAATTTTTTATCCTTTTAATAAAATCAATTTTTTTACCCATTAAAAGAGCTAAATATCTTATAAATAAATTTGTATTTGTTTGTGAGAGGAAGTTTGTTATCTTATCTTTGTTTTACCTTTTAAGGAGTAACATTTTAAAAAATATATATTTTTGACCAAATTTGTCACCTTAACATTCTCGCGTGTTTTCTCAAATTAAAATAAATTTTGTTTTGAAACAATTATAAGATATTAGTCTTTGATTTCTAGAAAACTTGTAGAGAAAATTCGTAAGAATCGTAAAATTGTAAAAACATGTATTGCCACATAAATGAATTGTGTTAGATAATTCTGCGGGTTTTACCACATAAATTTAAACACAATAATTAAATAAAATTCACTCAATTCGTAAAGTTAATAAAGTGACTGTTTAATCTAAAAGTTTAATTTATTACATTTATTAAAAAATAAATAAAGTATCGTGGTATAAATTTCTTAAGATGCATATATTTTTTTTATAGTTGACCTGTACCGTCCCTAACACAGTTTTTTTGGTTTATTCAAAGATAACTATTGAATGTCCCTATGGTTGGTTTTGGAACCACTTAGCATGTGGTTAATCAGATATTTAGTTTCCTTTCATGAAAAAAAGGGTGAAGAACTCTACATCACGTAGCATTCGAGAGGAAAGGAGAGAAAAGGTTTGCTATTAGTCAATTAATAACTGAACGTGACAGTTTGCCAATACCCAAACAAGTTAATTGAAGTGTTCAACTGCATTTATGTTTCTCTAGCTTCTATCACTGTGCAACGCAAAACACCCTCCACCTATAATTAAACCTTTTTTTCTCTTCTATACACATCAGAGTTCTTGCCTGTGCCTTGTTGCAATGTTGTGTCTGGTAGTGTTGCTTGTGTTTCTTCCCCCTCTCAGAGGGGAACCAATGTGCGAGACCATGTCATGCGGTAAAATCAAAATTCAGTTTCCATTTGGTTTGAAACAAACTCGAATTCAATCTGAAAGTTCTGGTCGGTGTAGCCATCCGAGATTCCAACTTTCCTGCGACAACCGGAACAGAACCATTCTGAGCCTCGCAGGTTCGGGGGATTTGGTGGTGAAAAGCATAAACTACAGGGCCCAAACCGTTAAGGTGAACGACCCCGAAGGTTGTCTCCCGAGACGTTTTATGCACAATTTGAGCCTTTCCCTGCATCCACCGTTTACGTTTGACGCAACTCTTTACGACCTAACTTTCCTTCGTTGTCCTTCCAACATAACGCACTCCATTCCATTCCCACCAATTTCATGCCTCCAGACCAACTCCTCCTCGGTGACATTCTCCTGGTGGCTTCTTAATGACACATCACCGTGGCGTGATGAGTGTGAGGTGATATCGTCGGCTTTTGTTCCAATTCCAAATCCAGACAGTACGTCGTTTTTTACGCCCGATCTCAACCAGGATGTCGTGTTGAAGTGGAACGAGCCCGCGTGTGGGGATTGTGCTGGTCGTGGCCAGGTATGTGGGTATATCGGTGACACCAAAACTTTCCAAGTTGGATGTTTCTTCCCTGCTCCTGACCAAATCCAAGGTATCTTCGTTTTTCCTTCTATTCTGTGACTCTGTTTTGATCACAAAAACCAAAATTTTGTGGCCACGCTTAGTGCCTTCCCTAACTGGGGCTGAGTGAGTGTGACAGCTTAGGTACGTAATTAGAATCCCTTAATGACGATTTCTATTGAATTTATTAAACAAAATGTTTTTCTTCCTCCCTTCCAAATCAGTCTATTCATCTTCCTAGATCTAATAATGACTCATTAAAACGTGATTAATACAGATGTATTATTATGTTAAAAGTTTAACTTTTAATTAATACCGTAAAGAAAAAATTAAGTCTGAGTGTGAAGGCATTGACGGATTATTACAGGCGGATTATTGGAATACTATAAATCTGGGTGCACGTTTCAAAGTTTTATTTTGATTAAATTAAATTATTATTTCATGTACTTTTTTATTCTGTCAATTATCAACGTGTTATTGCAAAATTTTAATTTTAAATAAACATTAATATTTCTTCTATAATACTGTAAGTGGGAAGAACTTTCACTCAATTAGCTCCATCCAGGGCTGAGAAAAATAAATATAATGCAAAAAGATTTTGCATTGGAAGCTTAAATTTACTTCATTACAATGCAGGTCTTTCAAGAAGCGCCAAATATGGCTTAACGATCGGAGTGGGAATACCTGGACTCCTATGTTTAACTGGGCTTTGCTGCTTTATATGTAGTAAATTCGATGTGTACACACATGGTCACCGGGCCAGGCCCAGCACGGAGCTTCCGAACTCAATTGCAACCGTTCCACGCTCCTTGTTAATAACGGGCCTTAATGGGCCGGAAATTGAAAAACTCCCCAAGACTCTTATTGGTGACAGTGGGCGCATACCGAATTCGAACGATAACACGTGTCCAATATGTCTCTCAGAATACGAGCCCAAAGAGACTCTGAGAACCATACCTACGTGCAACCATTATTTTCATGCACACTGCATAGACGAGTGGCTGAAGATGAATGCCACGTGTCCATTATGCAGAAATCCACCGGATTCTTCTTCTAACGTTACCCCTTATTCTTACTCTTCAGCATCATCTATCAATTCACCTTTGCCATAGATAATTTCATTGTAGGCCATATTTGGATTCAATTTTCTCGAAATATTTACATAATAAATAACACCTTTTCTTCTGTCTGTTCTTGATTGTTTATACGATGAAATTGAATGATATAATAAATGTATACGCTTATATATAAATAATTAATAGTGACAATGTATTTCAAAAGGGGGTGTAGCTCATATGGTAGAGTGCTCGCTTCGCATGCGAGAGGCACGGGGTTCGATTCCCCGCACCTCCATTTTAAGCATTTTTTTTCTCTCATTTTTTAATTGCTTTTAAAATGTTGTGATTAATCAAGTAAACTTTTTTTTTTTTTTTCACCATAAACTATTCACATTCAGTAGCAACTATGTATTATAAAATCTCGTGACGGAATCTTTTACCCTTTTCTTTTTGAAGAATGGAAACTTCAACTATTTTCATTGCCGCCTCTTGGTTTTTGTTATCCAAATCCTGCACCATTTTTTTTTTCGGACGAACTACCACAACACAACAACAACTAAAATCTCTTGAACTTTACCTGCACAGATCAAATTAATACAAAAATGACACGAATCAATACTCCAAAATTCATGTCACTTTTGCTGTAAACAAGATATAAAAGAATGGAATAACACTTTAAAATGACGATACTTAATGTATTATTTTCTTCCACAATGATTCAAGTTTTTCTATAACTCATCTATGCAATAATTCAAGTTTTTTTTATAACTCATTCATGCAATTGCTCAAGTTTTTTTATCACTTGTGACCTCACCGATTCCTTCTCACTATACGAGACAAATATTTTTGTATGATAGTTACGTAATGCACCCATTTTTTTATGAATTGTCGGTGGATTAGGTGTTCACGAAAGTCTCTACATGGTCAAATTCAGACATTTCTTTTTCAAACGTAAGAATTATAAAAGAAAACATATATAATTTCTGCCCCAAAACGTGTTTTGATAATGGGAAAAAGGATACGCAACCAGAAAAAACAGAGTTTAGTTTTTTTTCTTTTCTTTTGGTTTATTGTTCAGCCTAAATTTAACAATTTTTGTACGAAGTATAACGCCATTTAACAATTTTTGTACCTGATAAACACGTACAAGAGTAATTTATTTTTATTATCCGAGAAACGGGAAAAAGGGGAAAAAAAAAACGAGAGGTAATTTTTTTTCTGTCTAAAGTTTCAATTGAAAAAAAAAAAAAAAAAACACAGAACATTATTAAATATTTAAAGTTTATTATGAATGGGGGAGCAAGCAAAAAGGTACATGATGAATTTGACTTGAATGTCGGTCTTGATTAAATTTTGATGCAATGATTGGTGAGATGATTCCATGTCTTATTAGTTTTCTCTTCTATCTTTTTTAGTTTGTCCTTATTTACGAATTTGGTTATTCATATTCCATTTCCACCTTCCTTCGTTCTTGTACGGACACCAAGGCATTCAACAAGTTCAAAAGAAAAGCAACTCAACTCAACTCAACCCAACCCAACCCAACCGTTGTTAAGGGCCTTCTTAATATTTTTCATAAATTACCCTCATCAAATTATATATTTCTTTTTCGTAAAACATTAATATAAATAAATAAGATGAAATTGTTAACTATACAATACTTTAGAAGAAATCTGAAAATCTTATCGTTTTTCTTTTTCTAAAACACTTATTATTATTGATGTTTTTTTTTTTACTTGTATTATTAGTTATTAAAATAATTAAGATTATGTTACAGTTTAAACAATAGTTAGAGGAATATAGGTAAAGTGAGTGGCATTAGAAGGAGACAGTTGGCTGAAGTGTTGTGATGATTGAAGACAGTTGGCTCCTCCACGTTCTCCGCTATGCACTCAATTACCATATGTGAATAAATATTTTCTTATTTTTATTGTGAAGTTTTAATTTAAAAAATTTAATGAATTCTTCACAATTGTTATTAATATATTGATGTTTGTTTGAAAACCATTTATAATGAATTTATTTTTTGTTATTCGTACTGTTAATATTTTTTAAATATATTTTATTTTATAATGAGTATTTTGACATGTATAATAAGAATTAGTTGACATACTATTTATTTAGTAAAAATAGGATTTTTTTTTTTAGTTTTAGTTATTAGGATTTTAATATTGTTCTCCGAAAGATGTTGTGAGACGGAGGAATATTTTTGTTATGACGTATTTTATTATTTATTATGTGGTTTTACATTTTTAGGAAAATGAATACATATACAAATATAAATTATAATGTTAACACATTATATACAAATTTTCAAATGTGTCAGAAATAGAAGATGAGAAGGTAAAGAGAGAATTGAAAGTTCATAAGATTAATTTTATATTTGTTTTTATTAATTTAATGTTTAAGTGGATGAAAGAGTGAGTGGGGATTTGTAATTTTATATAGGAAGATCTGAGGGAAAGATAAGATGAAAAAAAGGTATTGGTGTACATTTCACCGTTTATAATTTTATATAAATTACTGTTTTGATATTTGTAACTTCATGCATAATAGTGATTCTCTGTTTTATTGACTAAAGGTTGATGAGGTTTTTAATATCGTTATCAAAATATTAAATGCAATAAATTGGGTAATTGTGACAAGGGAAATACAGAAAGATTATAAATTATGTTTATTATATATTTTTTTAATATTAATAATGTTATTAATATATTAAAATATATAATTGATTCTCACTTATTAGAAAATAATAATCTTCTTTTTCAAATTATTTATTAGTATTAAATTATATCTATATTTAATTGCTACTGTTAAATAATAGATTATGTTTATTATTATTTTTTAATTAATAATGTTATTAATATATTAATAGATAAAATTCTTTCTCCCCAACTGAAAGGAGAATCAATTATCCTTTAATAAATTTTAATTTATTTATTAGTATTAAATTTCATATGTATTTAATTATTATTATAAAATAGTAACATGTTTGTTATATATATTTTTAATATTCATAATATTATTAATATAATAATACTAATAATATTATTTATTAATGTATTAATGGTAAATTAATAATTTAATAATTATTAATTGTTTAAAATATTATACAATATATAAATATTTGATATAAATTTGTACGATAACTCTAAAATATAATATGATATAATTATAAATTTTAATATGATATTAATATAATCAACATCAACCTATATTTCAATAATCCATATTGAGATTAATATTATTATAAATATTGATTTTAATTTTAGAATAAAAATATTAAAATTATAATAATATTAATCATATCATGTTGGTGTATTAACACTAAAAACAAACTAATAAGAAAACTAGATGAAGTGATAAATAATACATAAATAAATAAAAATCTAAATTTATTATTTTTATAACGTGTTTAGCTCTATATTTTTTTATCTTTATATAAAATCTATTATAATAATTATTTTTTAAATTATAGTAAGATAATTTTTAATTACTACTTTACGTGTGAAATAAACTTTTTTTCAAATGACATGAAAATTCATATTATACCTACGAAACAATAACATATATCTTTGGTACGTCATTATTAATTAAAAATATAACTTTATTTAATTCAAATTAATCACTTAAAATTTATTTAAAATTAATTCTATCTAATTATATTTTATTTTAATATAAATTCATATATTTTACTTTTACTTTTTTTTTTAAGATCATTGTAATCTTATACTTTTATCGATTAAAACATACAAATTTTTGTATTTATCAAACCAATCAAATTTACAAAACAAACTATTTTCTCTCCTTTTTTTTATCTCTCATCAGTTATCTCTCTATTCCAACAATTTCACTTTTATTTTTTATTTCGTTTAAATCCACTCATTCTCATTTTCCAAAATCTATCTTTAAATCTATACACAAACTAAAGATAGGAAAGTATAGAGAGATGAAACATTGAGAAAAGGACCACAACATCAATTGGCAAGATAAAATGAATAATGAATAAAATCTAGAATAAATAGTATAAACAAGGAAGTTACAATATTAATGCGAAATAGTTATAACTTTTATTTGTTTAACGCAAGTGATTAGTAATATTGTATGTCCAAGTTCCATAAAATAAATAAAATGGTTAATTTAAATTTTTTATCTATTTTTTAGTAATTATAAAGATAATAAGTATAAATGGGATCATAAAAAGATGTGACAAATTCTATTAAAAAAATTTGCATTATGGAAAAACATTACAAACAAAAAAATGATTTTTCAACAAAGTTTGGATCACCACTCTTATTAATATTTTGTATCATTTAATTTTCTATAGTTAGTAATTTAAGTTTCACAATTTTATATTTTTAATAATTTACCTTTTAAAGTTTATCCTTTTAATTTTTAATCTTTTATTTTCATAAATATTTTTCTCTCAATAAATTTATATTGGCTAATTCAATTATGTCCAAATTCATAATTAATATTCAAATTTAAAAGGTAAGACAATATTTTAAATATCTTTTTCCGTCAAGTTTTAATCCACTCCTCTCCAAATAAAAAAAAAAAAAAAAAACAGGATGACACTTACTTGTTATAGTCAGAATAAACTATGACCTTAATTCACCAATATTTTTTTTTATATCAATTTTGTATATGTATTATTTAAAAATATACCTTTAATTATATAAATAATTTTTATATTAAAATAAAATAATTATAATCAATAATTTCAACTTAATTGATTAATTTTTATATTTTAAATTATAATATTATAATATATTTATATATTTTAATAACATAAAAATATAATATTTTAATTATAATTTTTTTTAATATAAATATATATTTTTAAGATGAGTAAATTAAGTTTGGAGACTAGGTAAGATTAGATAAAACAGAACAACACAAATTAAAACTATTAATCTATTTATTAACTTGATTTACCATTCCAGTCTTTATTCAGTTAATAGATGAGACATCTATCATAAAAAAGTTAAATTTATTAATTAATATTTATTTATGTTATTATGTTTTTTGTTTAATTAAAATATTGAATTAAA